TTTACTGAGTGCTTGTCTCATTCTTTTAGTGTGGCAAAGAGCAACAGATTAAACTCAACAAACGGAGACTCAAGAAACTTAGAGGGGCTTTTTTTATGTGTAGTTTTTAAAGGATTTCAAGAAATGTTGGTTATTTATGTAACAGGAATATTTGCATCGATATGGCAAAGAGGCGTTTGTTGGAGTATTTTCTGGCAAACCAGGCGCTTCCTCACCCCCCCTGTATTTAGGCACCATTTCTTCCCCGCGGTTGTGTCCTTCTGCGTTTTCAGAAACTGCTGTGGAGCTCTGATCTGAGTGCAGACACTTTATCCCAGCTTTTCTCTTTACTATAGATTATGTGATGCTCTATATGCAAATCTTTGAGGCTACCTGATTTAACCGCCACTGAACTTTAAGAACGTCAAGATTTCTGGTGCTAGAAAAGCACCTGAAAGAGGTTATCACCATGGTGTTGTCAGAGGTTGGAAATAAAAAGTCCAGTGTGCCCAGCCTGTGGCACGGCCGTTGTGTTCAAGGGATATTTTTATTCCTGTCATTACCTTGGCGGAAGGTGACGTCAGAGCAGGGCCACATGTCTACCCAGCAGTTTAATCATTTTATAGTGTACGTTCTTTGTCCCATTTGAATTGCTTGGACTTTGTGGGTTACATATTAAAGGCTTTACTATTTCTAGTTTTAGGTAGGTCCCAGCTTTTTTTTTTAACCTTTTCTAGTGAAGGCGCCACTGAATAGTTCAGTCCTTTCAATATCCCAGTAGCCACAGAGGGGATTCCTTTCTTACTGTCTGACTGACCAAGCCTTTTAAATTACACAAGTAATATAAAAATATGTTCTTGTAAAAACTGAAACATTGCAGATAAGCCATACACCTTTCATTTCCTCTGAATGATTCTCACTCTGGCCAACTTGGTGAATACATTTGTTCTAATAGTTCATTGATTTTCTTGCTTTTCTAGAAAAATATCATTTACAAATAATGACACTTTGCCTCTTCTTTTTAGAGTTTTATACTAATTTTTTTCATCATTTCGTGTTATGTAGGACCTGCAGAATAATGTTTTGAAAAGGTAGTGGCAATAGCACATGTCTGTTTCTGGACATGGAGGGACTGTTTGACCATTAGATATTATTTTCTGTGGATTATTTTGCAAGGGTAGGAAAGCTTTCATTCCTAGATTAGGAAGAATGCTTATTAGCCATGTTGAGATTTGTGATAACGCTGTTCTGCTTCCTTTTGATGTTCTTTCGCATTTAATCTGTTCATATGATAAATTATCTATTAGTGTATTTTCAGTTGTTGAACCACCTTGACTCCTTGGATAAATGCTATCCGATCATGGTGTATGATTCTTTAAACACGCATAAATGTGCTTATTTTAAGCCCAAACCTGGCTCACTGACAACACTGACGCAATAAAAAGACAACCTGAGGAAATATTAAAGGCAGAACTGGAAGGGGAGCCTAAAGTGCACATACTGATATTTTTTAAATGATAAGAAAGTGCTATGAATATTTAGCACTTTGAGTAGTATGTACTTTCCATACTGTAAAGTTAGCAGAGCTCCGGTACCAAAAATCCAACACACATTGCAAAAGAAAAAGCAAACCTTATTTTTGGACACACATGAAAAAGGTCTTGCACTAAAAGACTGGCAAATTCTGTCATTTTTAAAATAAGCACATTTATGCTAGGAACTTCCTTAATTACTACTTAGGCAACTTTCTAAGTACCGGTTTCTCGCCCCCAAGAATTATTGAGGAATATGTTTAACGTCTAGGAGTGCTGATTTTCAGTCACTGTCTGATCAGTTTCTGCAGATGTTTCTAGTGTATTTGGTACACTGTTAATTATGCTGTGAAAATCCTTTCAGTCATATATCTGTGGCACTTGATTCAAGGAGGCTTAACATCTGCTAAGATCCCACCCTGTAGTTCTACCAGTTTTTACTGCATATACTTTGAAGTTCAGCGTATAAATGACCAAGATGTTTCCCCCTTGAGGTAGAAGTCCATCGGGCCCTGCCCCAAGTCATTCTAGAAAATATAAGAAAACCCAAAAATACAATTAACATTTTATTTTTTTTTAAAAAAAGCCTAACTCACCACTTGGAAAAGGGCCACCAAGTGCATACAACAAAGGAAATAAATGCCCCAGAATTAGAAAGACAAAAATGCAAAGACCTTTAGTTCTCAGCAACCAGAGTTAGAGCCCTCTGAGAACCCCCGGCAGTGAGGCGGAGATGAAATGTTTCAACCTGTGTTAGAAGACAATGCCATCGGGAGAAAACACGGAGCCCACCCCAAACAAAACTCACCCCTTTTTTTTCTTGGAAGGGGCCTGGACATTAACCACAATTTATATGACCGGGACTATGGGAGCAGTGTATTAAATAACCCTTCTCTTAACAATGGCCACAGGACAGACTTTGTAAACACAAGGTAATCTTTTTCTTCTATGGTAATGTCAGAAGTCAGTTAAATCTCAGAAGACACTTCACTGTTCTAAATTACAAGATTTGAAACATTTCAATATAATACAGTGTCACTTTTTTTAAAAGTCCTTAATTGAGTGGGGACAGTGCCTGAGCTTGGTCCCACATATTTTCTTCTCCGTTACCATGTCTCAAAAAGCGTGTCATAGATGGTATCGACGCTAAGATCACAACTCTCTTTTCTTTTCTTTTTTTGTCGTACTATTCCTTTTGGCTCTGCAAAGGGCCAGAGCCTCCTCTCAGCTGGAGCTCTCCATTCGAGGTTCCCCCGTCCTTGTTTTTCCTTCTAAACAGACTCACCCGTTCACAGAGTTGCTGCTTTAACGAAGGTTTGGACGAAGCAGGATTGGGATTGTCACCAAGGTCCATACTGGCAGGAGAGGCTTTCGATGAAGCTTGTTTCCTAACTGGTTCCTTTCTTCTCCCATTCCTAGGGCACCATTCAAATACCAGCACCCCCCAAAAAGAAGCAAGTTAGTTACCCTCTGTAGCAACCTCCCTGTGCATAGAAACAGCAGTTACGCAGCAAACCCCTGTGTGTTCGTCACTGTTCGGGGCACCTATTAGGAGATTTCTGAGGCTGTGGCACAGTAAAGAGTCTGAGTGGCCTGTGATGCCTGCCAGGCAGGGAGGGAGCGGTGGCTCCCATGGAGTCAGAACCTCCAGCAGGTAAGCAGGGTAGAAAATAGGAGCAGAGTTTGCCGAATGCACAGCATGTTCTGTACTAATGAGTAAAGGATTAATAGCACTCCTGCCTGGCCCTCGGGGGACACCCAGTAATGGCATCCATTCAACACGCAGGCCTTGCCAGCCTTTTGCCCCCAGCTGGCTGGGAGGCTTTAGGCAAATTACTTCGCCTGAATCTGCTTCACAAGTTTTCACGGCAGGAGTCCTTTAGAATCACGGACTTTTTGATTTGAAAACAGGCCACTTCCAGTCTGAACTGTAGCTGTCCCCCTAGAATCTGTGGGTAATCAGGTGGTGGGTAGTTCAAGGATTCAAGTGTCCTGGGGCTAACTGGTAAGAACACTTGAACCAAGAGCCGTCCAGGTTGGTCAGTGCCCAAGACCAAGCCAAAGGTGCAGCGAAGCCCTTGTGCCACCCAGGTTAGAGGAGGGGCCCCAACCTAGTGACAGTTCTGCTGTCCACGGGTGGCCCCGAAGGGGGCCGGGAGTGACCGCTTACCTTGGCCTTCTGGAGGACCATGCCTTTGCCTGTGACCATGACGGACAGAGGTCTGTTCTTGAGCGCCGTTGCAGAGTTGACTGGGGTACAGTCTGGGGCAGGGGTGGGGGTGGCAGCTTTGGGCTGTGGTGACAGGAGAATAGTGAGGCCTGAGCCAGGGGGTCAGAGGTGTGAGCCCCTTGCCCCCGACCCCCGTCCAGGAGGCCCTGCCGGCAGCTCCTGGCACTCACTCGGGGGCTCACGGTCTCCAGGTGGGTGGTGTCCACCGTGGTGCCCAGCGTCGCGGGCCCGGCCTCGGCCTTCTTCAGGTTGTCCTTCACCTCCACGATGCTGAGCTCGAGGTCCACGCGCCGGCTCTCCTCCACCCTGCACTCCTCGTCGATCTCCCTCAGCTTCTGCTCCAGGCTGGCCAGCACCCCCTTGTCTGGAACGGGAACGAAGCCGGCTGCAGGGGCAGAGTTTCAGCCAGGGGCAGGGAAGGTCCTTCAAAGGGCAAGTTGCTAGGAAGCAGCTCACGGGTGAGATGATCTGGAAAAGAATCTAGAGGGACTCGGATTTCTTTGCAGGTGTCCCGAGTCTTTAAAGACTGGAGATGAAGGATGATGCAGGACACGCGTGGTTAATGCAAAAACAATGACACTGGTCTCAGGAAAAGCCACTGCGTCAAAAGATGGACCACAAAGTATACACTTGATAAGTGAAAATTCAATTTTTAGAACTGCCAGCTTTTAGAACTACCTCCTGGTCCTACTGACAGCAGGTCAGAGGGTCTCTCTGCACAGGACAGTGACCTTTCAGAAGATGGAGAGGAGGGGACTTTGAGGGGAGCATGCACCTGTGCCAAAGGCTGGCAGGGCTGCAGGCCAGGCGCACAGGCCCAGGCTCTTCCTGCGGAAAGCGCCAGCGCCCGTGTCCTAGGAGGCGCCTCACCTGTGCATTTTAACAGGGTCTCTCTCAGCTCCCGCTTCTCCTTCCGGAGCTGGGCCAGGTGGCCCCGGGTTTCCTCCCTCTTCTTCTCGAGCCTCTCCTTCTCCTCCGTGTACCGCTTCACCTCGGCTTCTGTC